TTAAGAAACTCGTTTTAATATTATCTGAATTATGTTAGTTAAAGAAATTATAAAAAAACGATAATTATTCATTAAATAATACCAAAAAATTAATTTTATATTGTTTCTAACTTTGCAGTTAAAATCTATTTGTAGAGTCAACCATCTGAAAAATTAAGTAGAAACAGACAATCATAGTAAGACACCTCATCTACGATCGGAAAGTTGTAATTTCCCAACCTAATGTGTATTTCAAGCCTGTCTTTTCTGAATGTGCACTTGCTAAATAAAAAGAAAAATTAGTTTTATCTCAAAAAATAACCACTTATGTCAAAAAAAAAAAAAAACATATTAATATTGTCACGTATGATATCATAGAATCCTACGCAACAATATGCTTTATTTATAGCATTGGGACGATAAAAATTTCAAAATTGGTCAAATTTGATCCTAATGTTCGTAGGTAACAATCAATTGTAAAAAAATTGTATTACTTCTTTTAACGAAAAACGTGCATCTACATAATCATGCACAAACCCAACAGCTCTCATAAAATGTCAAAGACATATTATCTGATAAAAATAGTGCACGAGCAATCTAATTAACAAATTGATTACACGAAAACAATCGTGCAAATATGTTTGGAGTGACAATAAACGAACAAAACCCATTACGTAAAACACAAATGAATCATCACGCAAACTTCTGCCATCAAATACGAAACACAACAGGGCACGAAACAAAAGTAAAGTGAAAACGCAAACTTCCGTGATATTTTAACAATACAAAGAAAATAAAAGCACCACATGAACGGCAAGGGTAACAATTTTCTTATCTCGTGTAAGACTCGACGCTAAAACGCGCACTGCTGTACAGAGCGCAGGAAGCATAATGTGCACCAAAGAACGTGTAGGTGTATAAACGTACGATTAGATCTTCCGGTGTGCCGTTAAACTTTATTCGCCGTAATGGCCCTACAATTTCACCTTTAAATTATATATTGAGTGAAAAAAAAAGAAAGAGCTCGGGGAAAACTCATGGAAGATGAAACTCCTCCGAAAGGGTATTTTTTTCAACGAAACGGGAAAATTGCGAGCTCCTTTTTTTCCCGCGCAAAACTCGTGTTGCATACGGACAAGGGGTTGAGGAGGGTTGAGAGCCAACATTCTTCTTTCATGTAAATCGCTCGTAAATCCATTATACATGTGCAAACGGCGCTTGCAACTTTTATTTTATACACGCCCGTCCGAGCACGGACGAGGGTACACGCTCGGTGGTATTTAAGTATTAACCCCGTGGGATTCTCCTTTTTCTCTAGAAGTACCGGTTTGAAAAAAATGGAGCACAAAACGAAAGAGTAAGGCTGCGGGGAGGCCAGGGGGGGTCAAAAAGTAGGGAGTATGTGCTGCAGTGGGTGAAATAAAATAGAAGGAATTTCTTCGGTCACATCCCGTCGAAATTGCGGAGGAGCAAAAAGATGTACGAAAATAAAGGAAAAAAGCTGGGGTCATACCCATGCCTATATGTTTTATTTATCTTTTCCTACGAAATTCGCTCGTCTCATTCCACGCACGTGCTTCTGATAACCCCCTCCAGGTACAACCCACGTTCCAACTAATTTCCGTCCGATTTTCCTGTTAGATAACATTACTATGCAACACACGACGAAAAACGGCAAAGTGATCTTCTCTTTGGGTACAACGTATACAGCATAAACACAGGTGTTGGATGCAAGTATCTCAAAAAGGGGACATTATTTACAGCCGAATAGTTACGTGCACCAGATTCCCATCACGTATACGTACACATGCACCAATACATATAGGTACTTTCGCGATGGGTAGAGAGACTGGGAACCATTTAATGAGTTTTCTGTACAATAGAAGCATGTTTACATGCTATATACTTACACGTTTCGTGAGAAGCAGCACCATCACAATTTAACTACAGCGGCACTGCTCTCTACCAATAAAATATAATTTACATAAGTCACACTTTCATTTCCCGCAGCTGCATATACGTGCATACGTATACATAGCTGTAAAAACAGTCAAGGAGAAATCTACATTTCGCCAATAAATAACCGGTCACGTGTTGCAAGCGGGTTATGAGATTTTTTCGTTATTCACATTTTCTTTCGTCTGGCCGTTACTCCTCTATCCTGTGTTTCTTTGTTTCTTTGTTTGTTTGTTTGTTTGTTTGTTTGTTTTTCCAATGTCTAGAGCGATTTTTTTATGAATATTAATTTATGACACGCGGAAATTCAAGAAATAAATGTGTGTGTACGCAGAGATAATGTACAGTTTAAAATTGTTTAAGGAGGTTCGGTAGTGATAATTTTTTATTATGAAAATTTTTGAAATTTCGATATGTCGTTTGGGATAATAGTATTAAATTACAGCTAAATTTTTGAAGGGTTTAACCACACCGTTTTCAAGATATATTGACCTGAAAAAACAATATTTTAGCATGTAGGCTTATGGAGAAATCACTTAAATTTCACATAAAAAAAAAACGGCTAAATGAACTTGCTTTTTTTTTTTTAAATGAAAGAATATTGTCAAAATAATATTTTGTCAAAGTTTAAGAGAGCCCTACCACAAATTTCTATTAAAAAACAGCAAAAATGTGCTCGCAGCAGACGACTTGGCAACGCTGCTTTTGTAGCGCGCTTTGAAATGTAATGAATAGTAAAAACTCCTTTTGTAATTGAAAATTTAATTATAAAAAATTCAACCGAAGAAATAAGTACACTGTCATCAGTAGACGACGACAACAGCAGTAGACGACAACAACAGTAGACGACGTGCCAGCAGCCGAAAAAATTCACAACGTTGCCAGACGCTCTCCCTCCCCTTGCCTCTCTGAGATTTCCCCCCGCTAACACTACCGAACCTCCTTAAGCAGTAACCGATTAAAGATTACAAACACGTTTAACAAAGAGTGGATCGAGAGCTTTCAAATTACTCCAAATAACTGAATTGGGCCTTTTAAAAATTTATTTTTGTGTTCAACTCCCCGGTACTTGCTCGAAGAAACGTCACAAATATGTTTTGAAATAATTAACTAATATACTTGCAGATATCTAATTTTCCACAGTGAAAGCCGGAATTGCGACAGTAGAAAATTTAATGTAATAATTATCTCCTAATGGTAGGATTTGTTTCTTTTGACACTGCTAGTTTCTCAAGTAGGTAAGCTTTATTCAACTTTTTTTCTTTTTCTCTTATAAAGCTCATTCTATTGAAAATTGAGATACGAAAGATTTATAGATAAATTTATCATTTTGCTGGTAAGAGCCATGATGAATGACGCAACTTTGGCTTTGATTTACTCGAAAACTGGTATCTCAATGGTATTCATGACACCTTACTATTTTTCTTTTTAGAATTAACTCCTTGTATGCTCAAAGTATCCAATGGTACTTAATACCTTTTTATCAACTCATCCAAATTCAGTTAGTAGGCTATTACGGTGTCTTTGCCACTCTTATTCCACCTCTATGAGCCTACAGTTGAAAAGTGAGAAGGCTTCGTAAGTATCTCCTTAGAAATTACTTCGTAAATAAAATGTTACTACATATATTAAAAATGCTTTGCTCCTTTTAATTTCCCTGCCGTATCAAATCATTATACAACGCATTAATTGCTTGAAAGCGTGTTACATTGATTTCGAAGAGAGCGCGACTTACGCACATAAAACAGTAAAGAGTTAAAAAAATAATAATTTTTCACCACATTACGAGTAATATTTTTTTTTTTTTTTTTGTTCTTAAATCACTTGTGGACGTATAAATATACCGTCAAATCTCGGTATAACTGCACGCTTTTCTTTCCACGCGCGTACAAGCACATACACACACATAAACGCACAAACACACTTTACGAATGTACAAAGGATTCGCTTTGACGAGTTTTGCTTGTTGATTTTCATTTTATCCCGTTTGTTTATTCGTACGTCGTCGTCGTCGGGAGGCGCGGGTAAAGAATGGCAAAGCTGATAGCACAGCTTTACCACGTACACATTCATACAACCAATGGATAAAAGTATGGGAGGGCTTTGGCGAGGTTGACTTTTGTCAAGCAGGCAGGGAAAAAAATAAACGCGTCGTTTGCGTTTTGCGCTTGACGTTCGATTTGTACCTGATGCTTTGCCGCGCTTTTTTCATACGACGCTGCGAGCTCCATTGCAAATGTATACTCGATGCTCGTATACTTACACCTTTTTTTTCCCCCCACAAGGACTTTTCGTTTCAAAGATCGCGAAGTTGTTGAATTTCATGTGGTTCGAATGCAGTACTTGACTTTGCAAAAAGAGCTTTTGCACAGTTCGTAAGTTGTTTCAACGATTGCTGGCAATAATTCCGTGACTCATCAATATTCATGCGTATTTGCCGAGCCAAGCGGGAAAATCTCGATTTAAAACTTTCGATGAATATTCATGGAAAAATGCATAAATAAAACGTCGATGATAGCGAGCAAAAAGTCCACGAAGATAAAAAACGAGGGACACAACATGAGCTTGTACCTTCGTTTTCGGGCGCGATCGAGTGTTAAAAAATGAGCCCTTGCATTTGAAGCTGAAAATTGTGTTTTTTGAGATATTTTTTATGTTCTTTCATCATTTCGAAGAATAAAAATATCAATTCGATTTCCTATTACAAATTGATCAAAAAAAATGTTACAGCCTTTGTGCCCATAACTTTGTTGTCAAATGTAAGCTGTCAAACGTACTGCTTTTTCACAACTGTACACACATGGTTACTCCAAATGTAAATTCGTATACACAATTGTTCGGGAAAATTCATTTTCTTTTTCTTACAGTTCAGCAGCTTAAAGCTAGAAATTATTTTTTTCTTCGATAATAACATAAATTTCAAAGTCAACTAAAGGGACAGGATTGTCGTATCGGGTTGTAAAAAAACACGAAATAATTAGGTGTACTCTTGTGTCAACTAAAAAAAGTTGTATCTGATAATGAAAAAAAATATACGATCATGACATAAAAGATCGATCACTTACTGGCTGCATCAGGTGCCAACGAGAGAACCGACGACGGTAACGATGCTGACAGTAGGACGAGCAGGATGCCCACCGTTACCCATACAACGGAGCAGGTAGGCCCACCGTTGCTCGGCACTCGGTGCATCTTCAACACATCAAGTGGCCTTTTTTGGCCCGTCCTCTCCGAGTGACTCGTTCACCTGGTGGGACAGACAAGAAAACAATGAAAAAAAAACCATGAAAAATCGACGAAAGCAAAAAAAAAAAAGGGGGAACGGATGCCATCATCCTTACTCGCTTGATTGCCCCCTCGAGCTCCTCCCTTTCATTATACCCCGACCCGAATAGCCATGCCACTAACCTCCGCCGCGAGAGACTCTCGTTGGAGAGAGAGTTGGAAGGAGAGTTAGCTCCTCCCGTTTCCCGAAAAAAGAAGAAAATTACGTTCCGCCGAACGGCAGTATGACCCCGAGCGCTGCGGAAAAGCCTTTAACAAGCCCAAACAAGAGGAGAAACTCATTCGCCTTCAATTTCGCTTCAGAGTCACGGCGAGGGTGGGGCTGTGCACCTATTCAAAGACCAGTGGTGAGATAAAACTGAGGGAAACGGTATACATGTATAGGAAGAGAGGAGGCCAAATAGTAGCTAAGGTCGTCTAGTTTCTATTAAAAGAAAGCAGCGCCCAACGAGGGGGGCGTCAAAGGGTGCGGCAAAAAAAAAGCGGACGAGCAGGCTGCCTCGTTTTTTTTTTATATATACATGTACGTACGTTATAAATATAGATAAGGCCAGGTTAAAGGAGGTATAGATATGAGGGGGGCAGCCAGAATTGATGTAAAGTTGTGTACAGAAATGGGAAAATTTTTAGTTCGTTACCATAGCTTAACTTGGGGGTGGGGGTAATCTTTAAAACTTTCTTCTTTGCGACGTCCCTGATAGGTATATATCGAAGCTGAAAGTAGCTGCACTGGCAAATACATAAACACAGAGTCGGCAAGCTTTGTCGTCGACCCATCGCTCCCTATTTTCTTCCATACGCCTCTGCTTCTCCTTCTTAGATGAAAGGAAAGCGTCTCTTCCCAAACAAGTTCCTTCACCTTTCACGCTTGAAATATTAAAGGCACCTCACACGCACGTACAGAAACAGTGAGAAAGCCCCGTCGTCTTTACGCGCGAGCGCAAAAAGGAACTAATTCCATTTTCCTGGAGCTCCACGCAGCCGACAGCACACCCTCTCCCACCCCCGATCATCACTTTTCCCACCCTTATCACCGCCTCGTCTGCGTCTACATTTAGAACTCGGGGAGTGAGAGGGAGGCAGAGTAAGTCTCGAGAGCAACGAAAACGTTCCGTTCCATGTAAGTTTTGGTGGAGTATAGCCAACTACGCTACCACTCTCTTTTATACATACATACACGTAAAATCATCCCCTACCCTCCTCTTGCTCCTCTACTGGAATTTGTAGCTCTATCTATGTATACGCGAGTGTACTACTGTAGCGATGGTATAGGTTAGGTGTAGCGAATGGGATGGGAGTCAGCGAACGAGCGCCCTAAGAGGATGAATAACAATGGGGGAGTTAGGTTAGGGGGAAGGGGAGGTGAAAGGGTGCGCGCTGCACTTATCCGTCTCGTACTCCAGCATCCACGGACAAATATTCTAATGCAGTCGTGCCACCCCCCAAAACTACCTGCTACTGCTACCCACCTCTCTGCCACTCCCCACGGCCCCCCTTTATCTTTGCTGCGTTATTCATGAGACAAGACTTCTCCCCGAACTACCACGTCATCGCCTTTTTGACCCTCTCCCTCCTCTTCCTCGCCATTTCGTTTTTATCTCTTCTTCCTAGGGGATGGCGCTGTGTATTTTCGCATCTTTCCGCGTGTAAATGAGACAATTATGCACAGGTACAATAAGAAATGGACCGACCGCGCTCTTTTTTTTTCTTCTTGCTCTCATCTACACCGCAGATTCCCTCCTGAGATTATTCTAACGCCCGCCTTTATTTTCGCCCACATTTGCCGTTCCGCAACTATACATCTGCTCTACATAAAACTCGAAGAACATGGGTAGGGTGTATAAACGCTCTGCTTAACAACGTTATACACGCAAACGAGCTGCTCGGCGCATATTTTATATATAGTCCGAGAATCGCTCCCTGCCTTCTACCCACGTGATGTATATATTATAATACGCTCCCTTCTCCGTCCCAAGCTTCTTTCTCCTCCTCCTCCTTCATTCTCTTTATATTCCGCGTATAATCTCCTTCGTCTCTCATTTTCCGAGGGAGTACTTATATACATAGGAGTAGAAGCACCCGACTGCGGGAGACACTTGACTCTTTTTTTTTAACTAAACTCTCGGCGCGCGCTCATCTCGCTGCATTCTTCTGGCTTCATCTCCCCCCCCCCCCCATTCACCTGCTTTCTTTTTCCCTGCCTCTCCGCTCTGGCGTCCGAGTGCAACGTCTTCGTCTTTGTGATTTTTTAAACGCCACTTCTACCCCCTCCCCCCATTTTAAAAATACATATCGTGCATAGCGGTTCGTGAACCTTGCTTTTCTCACTCCCCCCACCCCCCATCTTTGCCAGACTGCACGAGTAAGGCTTCCCAGAGACGCAGGAACTTCTGGATACACTCTATGCCTTGGCTCTCGTGATACTTGGAGATTAACGAGGAGCACGTCGGCGGATGGATAATTTTGTCTGTGCAGCGTAGTCGTACGAGCTAATGGTTCACGGTGACGTGTCCCGACAGCCCCCCCTCCTACCAAAAAAAAAATTATTTTGAAATGCAACCTTTGAAAGTGGAAACATTTTTCGAGATGACACGATATGTTTAAATCTACAAAATTACTTTAATTTTCTTTTTTCCATGGATAGTTTATTGTATCTGGACTAGAAACTTCAGTACTTCAACAGTAGGCAGGATCCAATAAAGGTGTACACGTGAAGCTGCGCCAAGTTATATCAGGGAGGGAAAGGGGGAATATACCCAGATTACGTCGAGTATCATCTATATATACGTACACTTTCTTCAAAGCCCTTTACCTCCACCCCTACCTATACGACCCTTATATGTGCGAAGCTTTTGCTCCACCTTTTTACGAGCGGGACGTTATTTCATGCCGTAACTGCCGCGCATCGAGATGGCACGTGCACGGGAGTGGGTGTACATACCTATACTGTATGTATAAAACGAGAATCTTCCAGGAAATCTTCGGTATGTTTTTTTACGACCATACGCGCGAAAGATGTGGAGGGAAAAATTGCGAGCCATGGACGCATTGGTATCCTGGTTGATGGCTCTCGAAGGTGCGTTGATAATGTCGAGCCACTCGAAGCGTGAGAACGGAGTTTGCTGGAAAATTATAGGGCATAACACTTTTATTTCGTGAAATATGGGAGTATTGATTTTACGTGCTACTAGCTATTGTTTTGATATTGATGAGGAATAACCGGCGTAAGATTGAAATTTAACGATAAAATAATTCCTACCCGGTGACACGAATAAACAATCTTAAGTGACTTTGCTTGATTTTTGTTTTACTGTTTTTAAATGTGAATTGTACAGATATTGACCACAAAATTTTGTAGTAAGTAATTTAGTCTTCAAGAGTTTCTGTGAAGTATGTCTATTGTGCATCGCAGTAGAAGAACTCGATTTCTGGTCAGACTTGCAAAGCGGCACAAAATCATTCAGACAACGAACAAAGTCATATTTATAAGTCAGATAACACATTTGGTTAAACTATTAGGAATTACCTAGAGCTTCTTAAATCTACACAGCGACAAATTGTGTTGGATATTGCAACACGAACTTCTACAAAGAGTTGTTTTCTGTGTTTATTTCCAAGGAAAAATACGTAAATAGGACTACCACGTAAACAAAAAATTTAAATAATAAAGCTTAAGTGATTCTAAATAGATTATTTATTGTTCAAAACGTGATCAAATAATTCATGGACCTCTATATCATAAATGCATCTAAGTATAAGAGTATCGTTTGCTGTTCAAGCCCGTGCAGAACGACACATGTTCTCAATATTACTCATAGATTTTATACACAATAAATGTATCTGGAATTGGGAAGATCAGATTGTTCAATATTTTGTTCATAAAATGTATTCCTTTTAAAGTATCCAAGTGAACAAGGGTTGGAACATTTTCTGGATGAACAATAAAGTTTCTGGCCTTCATTTAAATATTCGAGAAACAAAATATTTGAAGGAGCATTTTCAGATTTTTTTTAAATATTTCACTAGTAATTTTCGGTGCAACAGCAAGTCAAATACGATTCCATCGATAGGGTGCTCGATTTACTTACGAAAGAAAAGTGAAAAATAACAAAATGATCGTCTTCAACTGAACTAAATGTTTGGTCTGTCGAGAATTTTGCACCCCACACGCGTAGCGTGCCAAAGTTTCACCGAAGAGAAACCTCATACATTTTCGAAAGCTACGCATATCGTCAGTGCACATTCTTCGCGGACAAAAACGGAATTAATTTGAAAAAAATTTCATGCAACCAATTCCATTTTTTCATTTGCTTATCCATCCATTTATCCTGTAACCGAGCCATCTCCGTGTCGAACAAAGAATAAACATACCACACAATATCAAGGATCAATTTAAAATTTCAATTCCACCTCGCACTGTTATCCCACCTGTATAGTAGCTGTCCATGTGATGGATAACCCGATTGCAACTGTTTTTATTGCATTCAATAAAGCACTAGATATACGGTGCGCCCCGACATCCCGTTATTTCCGAAAAACCCTGCTCATTTCGTTCGTTCCCATCCAATTTTCGAACCTTTCTCTTCCAATCTAAATAAATTGCGTCTTCGTTCACATGAAAAATAAAATAAAATAAATACACACGATAAATTCCGATCCAGAGAGTTCGATCGCTCAACAGTCAATTCGAGTCAAGAATTTCTGCGTGTATACTAATACTGGCATTAAAATTCCCTCGGCGCACTCATCGAGAGTAGAATATCCAAGGTAATGCGTTTCATCATGCATTGCACGTGTGCAAAGAGAATCCAACGATGCTGACGTGTATGTATAGTATATGCCTATGCCGTTTTCTAAAAAGAATACTGCTCATGATGTTTACCTCTGCGCTACAATACGTTGGCTCGTTTATTATTTTTTTTCTTTGACTCAAGTTTTAATACTTTCAATACTGTTACACCT